CTGCACCCCAGTTCTCCCCTCAGGTCTCCCCACAATCCCGCATGTTCTCTCCAGCTCCGGTCTCTTGGACATGCTCTTGGATCTGTTTGGATGCCTGTCCCTCTGTCCGCCTGGTTAAGTCAGACTCACCTCTTGGGTCTCAGAGACCCCTTCCTCCAGGAAGTCCTCCTGACTCCCTAAGCTCCTTCCCATAGGGTCCAGACCCTCTGTTCCCCTGGGAGAGGGGTGCTGGCGCTGGTGCCTGGCAGTTAGCGCTCTAGACACTCAGCAGAGGAGTGAGCCAGTGAAGGGGTGTCTGAGTGCCTGAGCATCCCTCTTCTGAGGGGGCACCCCACCTCCCCAGGGTCACCCCTCCTCCCAGGGGGCACCTCACCTCCCCGGGGGGTCACCCCTCCTCCCTGGGGTCATCCCTCCTCCCAGGGGCACCCTTCCTCCCCAGAGTCACCCTCCCCAGAGTCACCCCTCCTCCCAGGGGGCACCCCACCTCCCCGGGGTCACCCCTCCTCCCAGGGGGCACCCCACCTTCCCAGGGTCACCACACCTTCCCAGGGTCACCACACCTCCCCGGGGGGCACGCCTTCACGTGCCCTGTGGTGCACTCCACCTCCAGCAAATGGACAACGCCGTGTACACCTTCGAGACCCTCCTGCACCAGGAGCTGGGGAAGGGGCCCACCAAGGAGGAGCTGTGCAAGTCCATCCAGCGCATCCTGGAGCGGGTGCTGAAGGTGAGCCGCCCGGCCAGGCCCTGCCCCTCCACCCTGGAGGGGAGACGGGGGCCTGGGTGAGACGGGGGGCTGATGGAGCCCCCTGACCTGGAGCTCCCCGCACCCCGGCCCCTCTTTCCCGGCAGAAATACGACTACGACAGCAGCACTGTGCGGAAGCGCTTCTTCCGGGAGGCACTGCTGCAGATCACCATCCCATTCCTGCTCAAGAAGCTGGCACCCACCTGCAAGTCGGTGAGCAGCCCTCCACTCCTGCCCACCCCCTGTCCCCGGCCCAGAGCCTGACCCACAGCCCTGACTGCCCCTCTCTCTGCCCCCACGTCCGCCCCGGCCGGCAGGAGCTGTCCCGGTTCCAGGAGCTGATCTTCGAGGACTTTGCCAGGTTCATCCTGGTGGAGAACACGTACGAGGAGGTGGTGCTGCAGACGGTCATGAAGGACATCCTCCAGGGTCAGTGCCGCGGCCCCTGGGGGCGGGCAGCTGCAGAGCTGGGTGGGGCTGCCAGCTGTGTGGTCTCTGTTAGGACTCACTGCTGGTGGGTGGAGGAGGTGGGCGCTCAGAGGCTTCCTGGGGGCTCAGCTAAGCTCCAAAGGGGAGAGTCAGGCCGTGGGCTGTGGTGGGCCCACTGTTCATGGCACGGGCCAGGGGGCAGCGTCATGTCCCCGTGCCTTAGTTACAATGAGGGGAGTACATTCCGGGGGGTGTTAGGTGAGAGATGGGAGTTAGGGTCCCACCGCCTGCTCCCCACACTGAGGCCTCAAAGAAGCCTTGTCTGGTCGCGGTGCACACTCAGGCTGAGGGCTTGTGATGTGGGTCGCACAGTGCGGGGAGTGCTGGTGGCCGTCAGCGCCCCCGCTCAGTGTCCGTCACCCGCTTCTGTCCCGCAGCCGTGAAGGAGGCCGCTGTGCAGAGGAAACACAACCTGTACCGGGACAGCGTGGTCATGCACAACAGCGACCCCAACCTGCACCTGCTGGCCGAGGGCGCGCCCATCGACTGGGGCGAGGAATATGGAGACAGCGGCTGCGGTGGGGACCCCGGCATCCAGCAAGCAGCCCCTGTCTCGGAAAAGCGCCGGCGTGCCAAGCAGGTGGTGTCCGTGGTCCAGGATGAGGACGCGGGGCTGCCCTTCGAGGCCGCCCCTGAACCGCCATCACCCTCGTCCCCAGACGGCGTCACCGAGCTCCGTGGCCTGCTGGCCGGGGATCTGCGGGCTGAGAGCCCCCTGCTGGCCGGCCCCCTGCTCAACGGGGCCCCCGTGCAGGAGAGCCCCCAGCCCGGGCTGGCCCCCGAGGCCACCTCGCCGCCCGCCTCACCCCTCCGGCAGCTCCCATCCGAAAAGCTCGTGGGCCTTGAGCCTCCCAAGCCCAGCGACCAGGAGACCGGCGAGCAGGTGTCTGGCCCAGGCGGCTGCCCCCCCATCCACACCACCACCGAGGACAGTGCGGGGGTGCAGACCGAGTTCTAAGCTGGTCGCCCCCTGGAGCCTCTGTTGGACACAGCACACAGGCCACCCACTCCGGGGCCCTGGCTCGGCTCTGGGCGGGGAGCACAGGATCTGTGCCTTCCGGGCAGGGGGCGGGGGCAGGGCTGGTGTGGCACTGAGGGGGCTGGGCTGGGATGGGCCCACTTGAGTCACTTTATGGGTTTGGTCACACTTGGTTGCTCTGTTTTCTCTTCTGTGGGATGATCGCGGCTTTCCTGCTCCTGGGGAGGGGGGGTGGGCCGGGCACAGCGGGGGTCGGCCCTGGCTCCCTGAGTCCGCCCTCCCTCCCTGCCTGCCTGCCTCTGCGGCCCGTTCCCCTGGTGCGTCTTGCCACCCGCGGAAGGAGGGCGGTGAGAGCCGCGTCCACTGCCTGGCTTCTCCTGTCACCGAGGGGGCCCTCTTAGAACCAGGAAGCCCGAGCGCCAAGGCCCGTCTCTGGGCCCCTGAGGCCAGTTTTGGAGTGGACTCTGGCCTGGCTCCCCCACCCCAGGTGAAGGGACGTGCAAGGAGCGGGTCTTGAGGCTGGGGGTGCTGGGGGAGGGCTGCCTCTCGAGGTGGGGTGGGAATAGGAAAGGCCTGGAACGTGCTGGTCTGGGGCAAGGACGTGTCTGAGGGAAGGAGGGGGTGACCTCTGCAGAGGTACTGCTGGCGGGGTGGGTGGGGTGCCCTTGGGGGGGGGTTGCTGGAAGCTGAGACCCTGCTCGCCTCCACTTGCTGGGGTCTGGTCTCTAGGAGTCCCTCTGTCCGGCTGGGCTGGGTGTGGAGACACTGCTCAGAGACAGGGCTGGGTGGGTGTGGACGCTGTCTTCTCCGCGGTCCACTTCCAAGGTACATGCTGTCCCCCAAGGGAGCTGGCGGGGCTCGGGAGGGGCTGGGGGAGGGGCTGGGGTGCCCCAGGACACCACGAGCATTTGGGGCAGGCTGGGGCTCTAACGCACCACACCCTGACAACTCCAGGACTGTTCATATAGCCTTGCTGTTTCCCCCTCCTCAGCCGCTTGTTCCTGAGGGTGAGGGTTAAGTCAAGGTCACTCCCAGGGGCTGGGGCCGCCTGGTTTTCCCAGGCCCTCTCCTCTGCTGCTTTGAGGGGAGGGCAGGCAGGGCAGAAACCCGCTCCTTCAGGGTCCTCACCGCACCCCAGCCCTGGACCTCCCATCCCCTGGGTCTGTTTCCTGGGACCCACAGGACGAGCGGCGCTGGCTGGTGCTCAGGGACCCCCTTCGAGTCCCCTCCAGCCCCGATCTCAACGCCGAACTAACCTCTCCCACCAATACATTCCGTCTGAAGACGCGCTCCTCTGGTGCCTTCTCTTGGGACTTTCCAATCATCCTTCCCAGATATTGTATTGAAAATATTATGCAAACTGTTTAAGCTTCTACTAATCAATAAAATGCTTTATTTAAAGCCAGTGGCCCGTGTGTGATGCTGGCTGGGCGAGAGACCTGGGCTGGAGATGGGCCTGTGTACCTTGACTTGGGGGGCTCACTGCTTACAGGTGCATGTGACTAGAGTGCTCCTCGGAACCCATTTTCCAGAGGAGGAAACTGAGGCTCGGTAAGGAGGGGCACAGCAGGGAGGTGATTAGCCTGATGGTAGCTCAGACAGCTTCCTCTGCCGGGGGGTCTGTGCAGGGTGGGCCTCTGGCAGCTTCGGGCAATGGGGAGGGCAGCTGCTTTATGGCCATGGTGGGCGGGCTCACACTGTGAGCCAGTGTTTAAGACTCCTGCTCACAAGGGGAGCACTCCTGAGTGCTTACCATGGGCTGTGCGCATTACCTGCAGGACGAGGTAACCCCTGGGGGACAGGCACCATCATCACACCAGTGTGTAAACTGAGGCCCAGGGGGCAGGGAGGATGGGCGGAGGTTCTGGGTCATGGGGACACTTCCAGCCCTGCCAGCTGGTGGGGACAGGCTGCCCCTGCTGAGTGGGCATCTTGGGGGATGGGGGACTGTGGCCGAAGGTCTGTCAACAAGGGTGAAGGTGAGAAAACCAGGGCTCAGCCGGGTCTTGCTGTTGACTTTGGCAAGTCACCGAACCCAGTCTCAAACTGCTCACCTATAAAAGGGGGCCTCATGAGGGTTCAAAGAGACCCGCCAAACGCCCTGCTCTGCGTGGCCCTGCCCATCTCAGGCCGCCATCTCCCCTCTTAGCGGAGCGGAGCTCAGGAGGGTGTGGGGCAGGTAACCTGGAAAGCGGGTTCACTGACTGGCTCAGTGAGGCAGGGAGAGAGAGGGCCTGGCCCTACGTCCTGCCGGCTCTAACGCGGGGCCCGGGATGAGCGCGCAGTGCCCCCTGGTGGCCGCCAGCATGGGCCAGTTCCCCTGATGTCCCTCACTGAACAGGTGGGGATGTAGGGTCTGGAAGGCTGGCCCGGGTCCGAGTTACCTAGAACCCAGGCGCCCCAGCAGGCCCGCCTCTAGCCCAGAGAGAAAGCTGCCCTTGGCTCAAAACGATCTGCCCCAGAACACATGACCAAGTGCAGCTCTGCTGCAAGCACAAGGAGCACGGCTCCCCCTGGACTTGCGCAGCGAGCAACCTGCACAGCTGCACGGGCTCGGAGTGAGACGCTCTGTCCCGGTTACAGGGCCTCGGGCCCCCTGATCTGGGGTAATGGTTACACAGCACACAGGCGGCCCACACAGCCCCACCTGCTCCGAGGACTTTCCGAGACCTCCTCCTGAGCCCGGCCTCTCCACCTACAAAAGGGAGGTGTGGGTAACTTCACACACCTCACACCCACTTCCCCCCTCCCTGGGCTCCACTCGAGTCCAGTGATGACTCGGGAGGAGCAGGCTGGAAACAAGTTTATTGATGTTCCTGCTTCAGGTCTTTGAAGCTCAGGGTCTACCTCTGAGCCGCGTGGGGAGAGGAGGTGCAGGTCTGCAGGGCAGAGGGGCCCAGAGCTCAGGGGGTGGGTGGGGAGCAGCAGGGAGGGAGGCCAGGAGGGGCTGACATCGCTCGGGGCACCAGGCCTGCACAGAACACCTTCTGGCCAGTCGATCCCAGGACAGGCCGTGGTGGCCGCCCCTCCCCTGGGCCAGGGCCCTCCAGCGCTCCCACCACCCCTGCTGAGTGGGACAGCACTGCCTGGGTTCCCTCGAGGAGGACACTAAGGCTGCGGGAGGGGCTGGGATTGCCACAGCCAGCTGGGACCCTCGGTCCTGCTCAGACAGAGGTGTGACTGCTGCTGCTCCCGCCCCAGACCCTGTCGTCCTGCTGCAGGGGTCCCCCTGCCCCTCTACAGGATTTAAACTGCTCAGTCCTTGGGCAGGAACGCTCCTGTCTCTGCCCGGCCAGCCCACGGGGAACAGGAGGGAGCCGGAGCCCTGGGCCTGAGGGTGGCAGAGGCTGGTGCTCAGCTGCTGTGGTAGATGCGGAGGCGCTGGGCGATGTCCTGGCGGCACAGCGGGCAGATGCGCAGGGGCTGGCAGCACTGCTGGCAGCAGCAGACGTGGCCGCAGTTGAGGAAGATCATCTGGGCCTGGCGGGTGGAGAGCGGGAACGTCAGGGCCCCACCCCAGCCGGTACCCAGGCCCCTCGTCCTTCCCCCTGAAGATCTGACTGCATGGTCGTCAGACTCCATTCCCCGTCCATCACAGGATGCCCCTGCCCTCTGTACCAGCCATTCGGGGTGGGGGGTGGGGGTGGAGTGGTCCACAGCCTGTCTCACCAGCCCTGCTGTTACAGGATGTGCAGGTTGCTCCCAATTTAGGGACTTTTATGCACTTTGCCTCAAAATGACCCCAACGTTATGGATCACAAGCCGTGGACGTGTCCGTGCTTTGCCTCAGCATTTCCTCTTTTTGGGAGAGACAGGGAGCCATCTCTGGGGCCCAGAGCAGGGGTTTGGTTAAATTTATAACCACCAAGTCCTTCCCCATCCCTATATCATGGCATTCTCCCGGGCCAGCAAAGACCACGGGGTAATCAAACTGTTAACATTTTCTAAGTAGGCCTTTTCTAAGTAGGATCACGTGGTGGAGGCAACGGGTTTATTTTATGTGGTACGTTGTTTAATTTTTTTATAACAACTGTTAATTTTGTTTTTAAAATGAAGAGTTTTGGAAAAACCTCTCCAGAGAAAATTTTGTTGATATTTAATGACTTGGGAAATTTCCCTGCATGAATTTAAAAAAAAACTTCTGTTAAAAAAAGAAAAAGAAAAAAGGCCCAGCAAATGTTGTCAGCGTTACTCATGTTTTGGGTCCTGGGATCATGGGTCATTTTAATTTCCTGTATTTTCCAAAATTTCTAATGAACCCAACATATTTCTAAACTCTGCAGAATGAATCACCCATGCCTGTGAGGCTCAGGAGGGTGGCAGGCTCTGGGCAGGTGGGTGGGGGTGGGGACGGTGGCCCTGGGGTTGGGCCCGTCACCCCTAGACTTACCTCCCGTTCCAGGCACACCACACACTCTGAGGTCTGCACCTCCAGCAGCTCTGCCGGGGGAGCCGAGGGTCTCACTGCCTCGGGCAGCTCCTCGGGGGCTGTGGGCAAGATCCTGCCCTCGGGAGGCCTCAGCAGCTCTGTGGGGACACACAGCGGCTAAGCCAGGGTCCTGATCATCTGACCTGGTCCTTCCCCGGCTCAGCCTGCCGTAAAAGTGGACAGAGAGTTGGGCGGGGGGGTGCTCCCACATACCCTCTTGTTTCTCTTTGCTGAGCCTCATTCCACATCTATAAAGTGGGAGGGCTGGGACCCCAGGCAACTGGGGCCTCTTACCCCAACACACCCTGAACCCCTCTGGGCCACCCTGCAAACAGGGCTCATCACTGTCAGAGATGAGAAAGCAGGGAGGGAAAGCCACTTGCCTAAGGCCAGAGGGCCGCCTGATGGTGGAGCCAGCAGGCCAGGAACCCTGGGTGAGGGGCTCTGGGGAGAACCCAACCTTGAGCACAGATTCTCCACCAGGGGCCCAGGTGCAGGGGGGCCCAGAGGCGCAGAGAGAGGACGAAATAGCTCTCAAGGCTGCTCCCCCTGGTCCCCGCCCCGGGAAAGCTCCCAGCACACCCACTGCTCTGCCCTGGAACAAGCATGCTCTGCCCGGGTCCCAGCCGCATGAAGCAGGATGTGAGAATCCATCTCTCATCACACCAGTGACGCCCGAGTCTCTTCACCCCTGAGCCCCCTCCCCTCACAGCACACGTTGTTCATTTAGTCTACGGTTTAAATTACAAGTAGTATTTCTTAATAATTGAAAAAAAAAACCTTATGATTTCTTTTTTTTTAAAGCTTGTCACAACCACCCTAGACCTTCTAAGGGTAGGCCGGGGGGTGGGGGGGGGGGGGGGCCAGGGCGCGTCTATATTTCATGGAACACATGTTGAGTCCTGGGATTTGGAGAACTGTCAGGAAGATGCCTGAGGATCTGCTGGCCCTGAGCTAAGAAGGAGCTGTCCCACCCCAGCCCCTCCCCAGAGGGCGGCCAGGGTCAGGGAGAAGCCCTCAGGGTTAGGGTTAACCTCTCTCTGCCTCAGTTTCCTCATCCCTCAAAGGAGGGTAGCAGCAGCGACAGGAGACCTGATATGGTGATTGTGTCAAATGCCTGACACCTGTCCTGCTCGGCCCACAGGAGACCCCGACTCCTTCCCACACACCCCCCAACCCCTGCCCACAATCCCTCCTGCCTCCAACTCAGCCACAGCCCCTCCCCACCCCAGTCCACACCACACGCCTGCCCCAGGCGCAGAGCTGGGCACCGGGTCCGGTGGGTTTCTCCCACTACTCCAGGGACCCCGAGTATGTGGTTCCTGATGTCAGTAGGGAGGGTTTAGGGAAGCCGGGAGGGTCCCTCCACCACCGTAGGAAAAGCTCATGTTTTCCATTTGGGGGCCTATTTTTCTCATTTACAAATGGCTCCTTTAGAAGGACTGGCAGGGGTTGGAAGTGGCCCTTGGGACTCGTCCTGAAAGGTGAACAGGTAACGGCCCAGCCACGCCCCCGCATAAGGGCTCTGCTAGGAGAGGCGCGGTGCTGGTACCTGGTTGGGTCCTGGCCGCATCCAGCAGCTCCTGGGCTCTGCGCAGGATATTGTGCTGCAGGCCAGCCTCCGAGACGCCCACCTGTGAGGACCGAGGGGGCGGGTCAGGGCCTGGGCATGGCCCGGCAGGGGGCCCATGGCGCAGCACAGAGCTGCCAGGACCGCCTCCTCCCTGACTTCTGGCACCTTCGACTGGACACGTGGAGGCTGACTGGCCGGCAATCAGTGCGGTGGAAGGAGAGGGAAATCGGCGCTGGTGACAGAACGGGTCCAGCGAGTGCAGGGGCTGAGCTGACAGCTTTGGGCTCTCACAGCTCACAGTCAGGTGGTTCACACCGAGGCCAACCTGCTGAAAAGTGGCCGCACCAGACGCTCACAGTCCCTCAGCCTCAGAGCAAGTGCTCCTGAACTTGGGCAAGGTGGCCCACACAGTCCTTCTGAGCCCCAGTGTCTGCGTCTGCTTCTTGTCGAGGGACCAGGCAGCTCAGCAGAGTGGCCGACAGCACGGCCCCCGCACCAGACCAGCTGCCTGGGCTGGACGTGGCTCTGCCATGTGACCTCAGGCAAACTGCTACCTTGCTGTGTCTCCACGTCCTCATCTGGAAAATGATGATGACCGTAACTGCCTGCCCAGGGTTAGCGTGTGTGTGTGCTCAGCTGTGTCTGACTCTCTGCGAGTCCGTGGACTGCAGCCGGCTAGGCTCTTCCATCCACGGGATTCTCCAGGCAAGAATGCTGAAGTGGGTTGCCATTTTCTTCTCCAGGGGAATCTTCCTGACCCAGGGATCAAACCCACGTTCTTGTGTCTCCTGCACTGGCAGGCAGATTCTTTACCACTGTGCTTACCTGGGAAGCCTAGGTTATTATGAGGATTCAATGAATTTATATGTAAAACATGCTTAGAATAGTGTCAAGCACTTTTAAGTATTCGCCAGAGTTGGTCTCTGTCTCTTCTGAAGAGTAAGTGAATTCACGCAGAATGTACCAGGCGCAGGCAGTGCCGCCGATACAACTGTCAACCCATGGTGTGGGGAAAGGATGGTCCAGATGACCTCCAAGGACCTGCCCAGCCTATGACATGAAGATCCCATCTGAAAGGGGTTGGCGGAGGGGATGATCTGGGTTCCACAGCACCCCCAGCTCTGGCTTTCGTAGTCAAGTCACTGGGGGCAGATGGGGCAGGTGTTCTGGCCTGCTGGGAGCAAGGCGGCCCCAGGACATCTGTAGATGGCAAGCCATGCCAAGAACTGCATGAAGAGCAAGTCCCCTCCTTGGCCATTAGGTCAGGGCCCTGCCCGCCTCCCCAACCTCCCCCGAGGGGCTGCCGCTGTTCACCTTGGCCAGGTCCGCAGGGCCCATTTGGCTCAGCATGGCCAGTGAGAGGCGGTGGTGGGCGAAGATGGGCAGGTAGTGCTCGGCCGACAGCTCCACCAGGAGGGCCACCAGCGGGCGCTCCAGGCCTTCTTCCTGCAAGACACACCCGTGGGAGAAGTCGAGAGCATGACGGACCAGGAAAAACCACGAGGCCGGGACTTACAACAGCACACAAAGTTCAGACACAGATAGCGTAACAGGGAAAACATATTCTTGGGACTTTTCCTACCAAGACGGCTATGTAGGGGCATAGCGACAGATGTGTGAAGAACTTAGTTCACCGCCACGCGGCAGACCTGACAACGCGACCAACTTAAGTGCCCATCAAAGGGAGGGGAACTGTTGAAGCAAATGAAATCACCCAGATCCTAAATCACCAGATCCAGACACACAAGAAGATCTACACGCCCGGGGCTGGAGAACACTACTGTTGAGGCTCCATTTTTATTTTAAAGAAAACAAAGTGCATGTGAGGAGGGAGAAGGGACCACCCCTGTCCTGTCCGAGCCCCTGCAGTGGGGAGCGCACAGGCCCCGGTGCACCCATCACCGGAGATGGGAAGGGAATTCTGTCAGATGGACCAGCGAGCTGGTGCCGCCGGGGCCCAGGGCTCCCGTGGGGTGGGCGCGCCGCAACTCTCACCTGCAGCTTCAAGGATAAGGGTTTCTGGTTCAAAAGCCGCTGATACTGAATCAGCCAGTAATTCTCCTGCTTGGTTTCACTTTGGGCTTCTAACTCCGTCTGCCAAGAAGGAAGCAGACACTGTTAGTTACGAGTCAGGGAACAGAAACGATGATGGCACGGATGGCTGTGAACGGCATGTGGATGGACTTGGGTGTTTTACAAAGAACATCCCTCTCCAATAAGTCTCAATGTTTCATCTGCAGAAACCTGGGCGGCTGAGAGCTGGTGCCCCTGCCCCCCGCCGCCCTGGGCATCATGACTTGGAGGGGAGACGCCTTCTCACCTCCCAGTGGGAAGAACAAAGCAGTCGGCAGCCGTGTCCTTCCCCCAGAGGCTGAGTGCGTCCTCTGGGAGCCAGCAGGGAGAGAGCTGGGACCCGAGGGGCACCTTCAGCTCGGGAGGGCACGTCGCCCACCTTCACCCACAGAGCCGGAGCACTGAGAACAGGAGACAGGCGTGCCCACACAGGACACGGGCACAGAGACAAATGCACAAGGAAGTCAGCTATTTTCACACTGATTCCTCCGTCCCGTCACTCAACAAGCAACCCGAGCGTTGATCTGGGCCAGGCACCATTCTAGCTGCTAGGGATGGAGCAGTGAACATGTGGCACGTCATGTCATGGCAGCAGTAACGTCAGGGTGCTTCATGCCAGTCTGTGCTGCCTGCTGCGAGATGCCATTTTACTCAGTTCTCACAACTCTGGGAGGCAATCTCGACATCACAGGTGAGGAGACTGAGCGACTGGTAGAGTGATGAGCAGGCTGCCCAAGATCCAAGGGCCGCCCCGAGTCAGAGCCAGATTCAGCCCAGGGTTTGGAGCCTGTGCTCCGAGCCACCAAGCCGCCCAGCCAGGACTATGGCTGCACGCTGGGCTTTGGGACTGCAACCTGGGCGTCCCCCAGCTCCCTGGGTGGTCCCTCTTGGACCTAGCTAAGTGACTGGCCTGGCCCTCTCTGGACTGTGGACACACCTCCCCCTTCAGGAGCCTGTGACCCTGATGGTCATGTCCTGCTGGGGTGGACAGCGAGTCCCCAAGGTCCCTTGTGGGCAGTAGCCTGGCCACAACAAGTCTGGCCCCGCACAGCACATGTTAATGTGGTCTGTGCCCAATGGCACAAACGTACCACCCGGGCTTGTGCGGGGCTTGGGAAGAGACTGGCCTCGCTGTTGTCTGTTCCTGGCATAGGGTGTGGCCTACAGTGGAGCTCAGGGGATGTCTAGGATAATGAAGCGTTTCTAAGAACAGTGAGCTCGGAGGAAAAGCAAGCCGGCGCATGACGTAGGTCTAAGAACAGTGTGAGGGCAGAGAGAAAGCAACCGGCGCACAATGTGGACGTACAAGCGCGGACGTAAAGCAACCCCATGCACGACGTGGATGCCACACGTACCAGGATCTCCCGGAGCTCCTCTTCTCGCTGCGTCTTCTCCTTGAGCAGCTGCTGGAGCAGCGAGCTCAGGGCCCAGCGTTGCTCCGAGATCATCTCCTGCGACACAAGACCGTGGCCAGTGCTGGGAGCTCACGGCACCCCAGCCCCCGAGGTCCCCACGGCACGGCAGCAGGACACCCCCCCAACTGGTTCTCAGTTGGGGGCCGTGGTAGGCCTGACTCCCATCAAGGCTCTGTCTCTGATCTCTGGCTGAGGATCAGGGGAGAGTGTGGAGGTGCCCTTCTCCCCAGCCTGCAACTCCCTTCCGCAGGGGGTTAAGGCCGGGCATGGGCTCTAGTGACCAATGACAGTGCAGTGATGAGAAACATCAAACAAAGGGAATGACAAGCAGCAGGGACCTTGACTTCGGGCTCACTGACTACAGAGCACCTGGGCAGAAGCAAAGGGCAAGAGAGGGGTGAGGGACCCATGCCAGCCAGCATGGAGGAATGGGCACACCCCAGAGAGCCCTGTCTGTGTCCACATTCTACTCCTCTTGGAATATCCCATGGAGACCCCAAAAATGGGAGCCCCACAGCTCCAACAGGCAGGAGATAACCACCGTGCTTGGTGGGTGCCTATGTTGGGGGTTGAGCGCCCCTAACCTCTGCATGGCTGAGGCCTGTCCCACTGATCTCTGATGGCCCCATGACACAGGATGGGTCTAGAAGACTCCTTCTATTTTATGCAGGGGCAACCTGGAGGCCCGGGGAGGGGAAGCAACCTGCCTAAGGTCACACAGTGGCAGAGCTGTGACCAGGACTCCAGGCCCTAGCTCTCTTCTACATTGAGAATCCCACAGGATAAACAAAGACTTGTCCGCCGAGGACAGACACAGGGACGGGGACAGGCAGAAGGCTCTGCTTGAAACCCTGGTACGGGGCACAGGCCCTCTCACACCGTGGACCCAGCCCCTCTGTGAACGACTTGGGAGACCAAGGCATAGAATAGGGAAAGGGCCGTCCCTCTGCCCCTCCTGGCCCAGGGCACACAGCAAGGGCCAGAGATCAGAGGAACTGCCTGCAGGGAGTGACATGGTCCCCGCTATGCCCTCTCCTCCAGACATCCTGGGGTTACCAAGAATGCTGTCCCCTCGGGGGTGTTAGCCGTGAGAACCAGTGCCCCAGAAGCATGGCTTAAGAGAGGCAGGGAGCTCAACAGTGACCCGGCTCTAAAACAAAGACAACACGGAGATGGAAATGCAGCCTGGTGAGCCTTGGCAATGAAACCCTCCTTCCTCTGACCTTCCTGCCTAGCAACAGGTTGACCCACCCCTAACCTGGGCCTGCGCTGGGCCCCCATGAGCCTTCTGGGGTCGCAGCATCCTCCAGCATCACCACCTTGTCTGCAGGAGGGCAGCTGAGAGGGGTGGGGGCACCAGCGGGAGGTCTCATCAGTAGGGGTGGAGTGGGGGGACAGGGCAGGCCAGGGAGCCCTAAACATACCTGCAGTGCCTCTGTGTCCAGGGATTTCCTCTTTAACTCCAGCTGTGTCAGCTGCAATAACTCAGTTTCTATTAACTTAATCTAAACAGAAGACGAGACAGGGGTTTTTTAATTCACATTAACCACGGTTCAATCCTGCGCTGCTGCTCCTGGGTGGCCAAGTGGACCTAAGAATCCTTTCTGTGGGTGCTGGGGGAGGCTCTGGAATGAAGGGGACTGAGAACCTGGTAAACCTTATCAGTGGGGTTTTAAACATAATTCGTTATCTCAAGGGCCTGAGTGCTTATCCTGGCCAGAACTGCTGATCAAATGCCGGGCACAGGGCTGGCCCAGAGGGGGTGCCCATCAAGGTGCATGGGATGAAGGGGCTTCCTTCAAGGTGTGGGCCAGAGTGAAGAACAGATACGGAATTCTCAGAGCCTCTTGCCAGTTCAATTCTCTTGCTTCCTCTAGGCAGCTGTACACAGAGGAGAGCAGAGGGTAATGGAAGGAACTGAATTACAGTAACAATAACACAGTCACTGACATTTATTGAGACGGCACACGCTAGGACTGTGCTATGCACTTTTTACGCGTCTTTTCCATTGCTTCTCCTCTGCTGTTGGAAGTATTACTGTCTCTATTTCACAGACGAGGAAACCGAGGCTTGGAGATATTAAGCAACTTGCCCAAGGACACACAGCGGTAAATGAGTGTGCCTTTTCCTTGAGGTGTCCCTGCTTCTGGTCTCCAGGGGAGCAGCTGGCCTGGTGGGTCAGACCACCCACAGTGAGGACGTCTAGGGGGTCACCACGTACCTCCAGGGTGTGACTGGGGGCTTTTAGTCCTGGGGGTCAGACCCCCACAACCAGTGACTTCTCTACTCTGTGCCTATGACCCTGTGACCTTTTCCCCATGACCCCACCAACCCCTGGTCAGAGGAATGAGATTCATGTCCGGCAATGTGGGGTTGAAATTAAAGGAGAAATAAAAGGTAAGTTGGTTTTGGCCAAAAGAGAAAAGAAGAAAAAGAAGAAGGAAAAAAAAAAACCATGCAAAATGTGGAATTGAAAGTGTGCTGAATACGACGTGATGTGCGTCCCATAGCCTGAAAGCTCGCTTGTCTCCAGCCACCCTGCCACTGCTCAGGGAACACAGCGAGCCAGACAGAGCCCTGCTGGGCAAAGGCTCACTCAAGGTCACCCAGGGGTCAGCAGCGGAGGCCACGCGAGAGCACGCCCCAGGCTCCGCCCGCCAAGGTGGGGCATCACCTGTCCCCAGCTCCTCCATCCAGGCCACAGGACGCTGCGGTTCGAGCCAGCTGAGGGGTCCTGCCTGGGGTTGGTCAGTGCGGGGCTGCTCAGCGATCAGGGCCTCCCTACCTCAGCCCTGGGCATTGTGACAAGTGCTGGGCACAGGTCCCACCAGCCAGCACCCACAGTGCTGTCCCAGGCACCTCCAGCACCCTGAGTAGGTGACACCCCGTGAGGCTCTGTGAGGGGAGGGAGGTACTGGGGAGACCTCCTGCCAGCCTGGCCTGGAGGAGCCAGGACTCAGACCTTAATTGCGGCCTCTGAAAGCCCACAGAGCGGGCCTAGGGCACAGGGCCATGCTCACCTGCTTTCGGATCTGCCGATGCATCAGGTCCTTCTTCACCTGGAGAGCCTCGAAGGCTGCCTTCTGCATCGCGCTCTGTGACAGACAGCATGGCCGCTCAGGGGGCCCAAACACAACCTGCCTCAAAGACACCCTAGCCTATGCCTTTTCCATTTCTTAGACAACAACTTTCCAGCTCACTTGATTTTTTAAAAAATAATACTTATTAAGCACTTACTACCTGCTGGCCACGTGCTCAGGGCTCTCCCCATGGTGTGAGTGGAACGACTGAGGACAGGGGTGGGGGGAGGTGCCTTCACTGCCCCATTTCACAGATGGGGAAAGTGAGGTTTGGGAAAGTGAACTGGCTGGCACTAGCACGCAAGTCTGTCCAGCTTGGAGCCTCATCTTAACCCCAAGGCCTGACATCCTCTCTGAGAAATACAGCCTTTTCCTCAGACAATCCTGCAAGGACTAAGTCCACAGCATCATTGCGGGGGAAGAAGAGAGAGATCGGAGTTGGGGAGGAAGGAAAGGGAGCGATGGGCCTGTGATGGGAGGATGACGTCACAGAGGGAGAAAGGAGAGAAGAAGGTGGGGGACCCTGACAGGGGGGACTCTTGTTTCCATGGGGAAACCTGGGACTTGAACAATTTGGACAGAGGAAGGGGGAAGTCAAGAGGGGTCCTTCCTGGGCTGGTCCACACACTAGCACCCATTAAGCCCATTAAGCCCAAGGGAGAGCAGATGAAGGGTGGCGGGACTGGAAGGGAGAAGTCGGGGGCTCGTTCCAACTCTGCGGGGCGGGTGGGGGCGGGCACTGCCACCAGGTCCTCACGAGGGAGCCCCACACAGCAAGGGGAGGGTGTGCCCGGGAAGGAAACCTCTCCTGACTTCAGTGAGCGGAAACCACCACCCAGAGAGCCCTGTCCCTGCCCCTCATCCTGACGGTCTGTGCATTTCTAAACTCTCTGAGCATCTTGGTTCTTACGCTCTCCAGAACAGCGCCTCCACGTGGTGTTGAGCCGCCCTGCTCTCGGTTCCCTGCACCCTCCCTGTGCCCCTTCCCCATGCCCTGGGCAAGGGCTCACCTCCTGCAGGATCTGGCTGATGGCTTTGTTCTGATCCATCTGTTGCCAGGAAAGAATCTGCTGGAACCGCTCCTCCATGTCAGCCATGCTGCCGGAAAGACAGCAAATTCACTCACTCTCTGAACATTTCCTGAGCACATACTATGTGCCAAGCACCTTGGAGGAGATGGAGATAAACCATTTATTCACTCAACAAGGCTTATGGACCACCCACTAGGGGCCATGTCCTGGGCTGGGTGGACATGGGAGTTTTGTCTGAATCCCACAGCCCTGGCAGGGTGGTGGCGGAGTCTGTGTCTCTGGAGCTGGGGAGGTGATCTCTGGGAATCCTCTCTATGACAACCCCCTGAAGTGGTGGCCTGCCTCTGCCCACCCACCCTCCATCGACAGGGAACTTATGACCTCTCAGGCGAGCCCCTTAGGCCAAGACAAAGTTGTCCTTCCTGGCACTAACATCTCACCCTCCAACCCAGTGTTTCTCAGCCCGGCCATGGACCTGCCCTCGTTCCCCTAGAACAAGTCTAGTGTCACAAAAATCCAAACCCTGTCACTTTAATATGTCTGTTATTTAGGTACAATCTAGGTTTTCAGTTTGTGTCATGATAACAGCTGCTATCTATTGAACCCTCATGTGCTGACATTATGATCACTAAGGCCTATCAAGTCCTCCGGTAACTCTAGTAGATACTGTCATTAATCCCCATTTTACTGATAAGAAAATCAAGGCTGAGGGAGAGAAAATAACTTGCCCAAGATGTCTCAGTTAAGAAATAGAAGCGGGATGTGACTCCACAGGGCTGCCCCGAGTGCCCGCGCTCCTAAAAACAAGGTCACACTACCCGTCAGGCGGGAGACACCTGACCCTGCAGGGACACGGGGGCGGGGGGCTGGCATGCTCCAGGGGCACCAGGGCTGCCCAGTGGGAGGAGAGACACCACAGTGGTCAGAGCTGCTGGCCTGTCCTGGCTGGGGCTCCTGGGCCTCGAAGGCACTTTGCTCACCTGCTGGGCACAGCAGCTCCTCCAGACACAACCATGGCGCTGGGGTGAACTTGAGGGCCAGGCCCAGAGTGGCCGTCAGCACGAGACGACCCCCTCACCATACCCTCGAGGGCACCCCACTCCTGACCTGTGACCTGGGAGAATGAGTCGCCACAATTAAGAGCACACTGCCTGGGTCAAACCCTAAGCTCTGCCACTGGTTGGTTGTGCTTCCTTAGGGTCCGGCGAGAAAAGCCACAAAGACAGGCAGTCACTTATTCCTGAGGACCTGGCCGGGGGTGGGGTGGCCCACACGTGGCAGGGGATTCCTATGCCAACGCTCACTCCACAGCTCTGAGCCAGCTCTCCCAACTTGCTCACGCGGCAAGCCCCTTCCTCATCTTACCTGGAGCAGGCCTGCTGGACCAAGTTCTGCCTCTGAGACTCGTAGGCCATCTGGATGAGCCGGCTCTTACAGCTTTCAGTTAGCATCTGCTGCATGGCGGCTGGAGAAACACGTTGGGGGTGGGGG